ATTACCTTCAACTTCAAAACTAGCTTCGCTCTTCCTATTTTGATTCTTGGTTCTCTCTGAGATAAACTCATGCATATCCCATGGCACAGCTCAATTTTGGCTGTTACCTGTAGCCCCCTCTCTAGGCCAAGTTCTGGCCCCTAAGCCATCCTCCATCAGCATTGTCCTTCCCTGCCAGCAGAGGATGGGGCTAGCCTATCCTTATCTCTAGGGAGACTGGGACGATCTCAGCAGCCCACAAAACATAAATACCATTGATGTCCATACAGTCTCCACAAGAAGCCCTCTGAATAAAAAAAAAAAAAATCTTTACATAATGCTTTCAAAAAATAGGGCTCTGCCCCCAGCATTAAATGTGAAGCAGAAAATTAAATATAAGAAATATTAAAATGTTATTGTACTCTACTTTCATTTTAGATAATTATTCACATTGAAAGCATTTTTAAAGCTGAATATGGAGGATAGTACTATTGGGTATAAAATTAATTTAACAAGGTTGGGGGACACTTTTGTTATTAGTATGTTGCTGTTGTTGTTAGATGCCATCGAGTTGGTACTGACTCATAGCGACCCTAAGAACAGCAAAACGAAACACTGCCTGGTCCTGGGCTAACTTCACAACTGTTGTCACTCTTGAGCCTGTTGATGATGACACTTTGCCAACCCATCTCGCTAGGGATCTTCCTCTTTTTCTCTGACCCTCCACCTTATCAAACATGATATTCCTCTCCAGTGACTGGTCCCTCCTGACAATATGTCCAAAGTATGAGAGATGAAGTTTGGCCATCCTGGCCTCCAAGGAGCACTCTGGCTGCACTTCTTCCAATACAGACCTGTTTGTTCTTTCGGCAGCCCATGGCACTTTCAATATTCTCGTAAAACACCATAACTCAAATGCAACAATTCTTCTATGGTCTTCCTTATTCACTGTCCAACTTTCACATGCATGTGAGGTTATTGAAAACACCATGGATTGCCTTATCAACACTGAGTGATAGCCAAATCACCATAACTGTGCCTTACCCCATTATGGCAGCATAATTGCCATCAGGTTTGGTATCATCCAATGTGTAAGCTATTGGAGCTTCCTCTCCTTCAATAATCATGGTTCCACAGTAATCTTGAAAAAGAGTAAAATGGAAGAAGATAGTCATCATCCCATCAAAGTACTCATAGTAGTTAAAATGAAGAAACTTATTATTATTATTTTTTAACTTAAGAAGCCCTGAAACTGAATATGGAACGCAGTGGCTTGGTAGGATGAGCACTGGATTGTGAACCAGAAGGCTGATGGCTTGAGTCTACCAGCTGCTCTATATGAAAAAGATGAGGCTTTCTGCTCCTGCAAAGATTTACTGCCTTGGAATCCCCATAAAGGACCATTATGAGTAGAGATCGACTTGACAGCACTTAACAACAACATGGCCAAATATAGGATATTACTGTCTAAATAAATGAAGGCAAATCAAATTGCTGTCAAAAGGACAGTTAAATAACCAACATTTTGTGAAAAGAAACCAACTCTTAAGACTCTATCAACAAAGAATACGGCAATGTGCTGTTATAATTAGTCCAGCCCACCTTTTAATGAAAACGTGTGCTGTAATGTGCTAAGCATTGAGCAGCTAACAGCAAGGTCAATGGTTTGAACCCACCAGATGCTCCATGGGAAAAAAGATGAGGCAGTCTACTTCTGTAAAGATTTCCAGCTTCATAAACCCTATTGAACAGTTCTACTCTCTCCTGTAGGTCCATTGTGAGTTGGAATCTACTTGATGGCCATGGGTTTAAGTTTGGTTTTGTTTCCTTTGCTGTTACTACTTGCTTTCTCTTTCATAAGAAATGAGAACAAAACTGAAGTTGTGTAAAAAAATAATGATCCACTATTGTAAAACAGAAAGACATGAAACTTAGCATTATCTGAGAAGCCACCTACTCTATCATTTTTTTCCCCCTAGTTCTTGGATTATCTGGAGACAGGGTAGTGAAGATACGGATAATTAAAATCTACAGAGTCCCAACCCTCATTTCTAATAAGATCTTTGTTGGGAAGATGGTCTGCCTTTATAACTACCATCCAGGCTATTTAAGATGAGGTCTAGAGCTCAAAATTCTTTGATAAGGAGACTAGGAATTGGGTCTCTCTATTAATCTCTCTCCCAGTCCTTTCTTCTTGTCAGAGAAGCCTTCCTCACTGCTCTGAAGCCGCAGTAAATTTCTGTCTCTCTGACTATCTATGACTACTTAATTGCACTAAGGTAATTAACCTTGTAGCTATATAGAGAAGAAATGTTCCCTCTGGCCATGTACCCCTGGTCACAGAACAGGCATGCTGTTTGAATTTGAACAAAGCTTGGCAACAGGATGATCAGGCCAGGTGCAGCTGAAAGAAGGCCCCTTCCTCTAACCCTTTTGCTCTGTTCCCATGCACCCTGAGGGTTTAAAGACCCTGGACCCCTTTGCCTCATGGTCTTTTGCCTACCATGTGAACTTGGATCTTTCAACACAAAGAGATTTTCTGTCTCAGCTCAACTATGGGACAAGGCTCTGAGGGAGGACAACCCCACAATGAATCTTACTTACCCCATTCATCTACAACTTAACCACTATGTAAGTAAATTAAAGACTATAAGCTCATCACTAGGTAATGCCAATTAATTACTGATAGCTACAGCTCTCTGTTGCTGTTAGGGGCCATCGAGTCAGTCCTGACTCATAGTGACCCTGTATAGGGGTTCCAAAGCTATAAATCTTTTGGGGAGCAGAAGCCCATTTTTCATCTCAGCTTACTGCAATCTCCTAAGAATTCTTTCCTCCTCAAGAATAACTTGGGCAACAATTTCAGTTTATCTTGAAAACAAAACCAAACAAAAAATGCTTTTCTCACTTTCCTCCTGAACAAAAGAGATGTGATTCTAACAACAGAGCAGGGCGACACCACTAAGGAGCTATGGAGGGTATGGACCATACCAGGTAACACTGTCAGAGGGGGTGACACCCAAATGACTTGCCATAACATTTTTGTGCAGTTTATTTATTTGAAATCCCTGTATTCAGTTATAACAACAAAAACATGTTTTAGTCCACACAGCTTACACGTATCTATATACCGAGGAAACTAAAGCTCTATGGTCAGGTCAGAACTGTCATAATTACCGCATTACAATGATGCACAGAATCATACGCCTTCATCTGCACGCATTACAAGCATTCACTGTTGTTTTCATTGCTGCTGGAGTTTAGTCACGACTTTGTCAAATTTTCTGGTGTTTTAGCTAAAATATTGTGTTTGTGAAGCTACATCATTAACTTTTTGGAGAATGAGGTAGTAATTAAAGGAAAAGAAGGAAAAAATAGAAAAAAGATTTCCACTGAGTGACTAATAACGTTGTAGTTCAATGCGGAAAGATTTTATAAAACAATTTTATTGTTAGTATTCATATAATCTAAGGCATACTACATTTAGGCAATTTGCAACTATATAATCACATATTACGGAGCTCTGGTAGAGCAGTGGTTACCAATTGGGCTGCTAAACTCAAGGTCAGCAGTTCAAAACCACCAGTTGTTCTAAGGGAGAAAGAGAGGTTTTCTGCTCCCATAAAGATTTACAGCCTCAGAAACTCTACACAGGGTCACTATGAGAACCGACTCCATGGCACATAACCAACCAAACAACCAAATCACATAGTATTCTATTATTAAAATTGATAATAAATATTACTAAGGATTCTGTCAGTTTGTGGAACTGTGGTGGTTTGTGTGTTGCTGTGATGCTGGAAGCTATGTCACCAGTATTTTAAATACCATCAAGGTCACCCATGGTGGACAGGTTTCAACTGAGCTTCCAGACTAGAATCGATTACGAAGAAGGAGGGATGAACTACTTCCGGATATTTAGTCATTAAAAACCTTATGAATATCAGTGGGAAACTGTCAGCACCAGAACAATGAATATTGAAACATGACAAAGATGATCAGAATATTGTCAGATATTGTTGTTGTTAAGTACTATGGAGTCAGATCTGACTCATAGTGACCCTGCACAGATATAGTGCCGGAAAATGAGTCCCTCAGGCTGCCACTGGGGAAGAGCTGCCTCCTCAAATTAGAGCTGACCATGATGACGCAAATGGTATATAGCTTTCAGGACCTTCATTTACTGAAGGGACACAACTCAAAATGAGGAGAAACAGCAGAAAACATTCATTAAAAATTGGAACATGTAATGTATATAGATGTACGAATCTAGGAAAATTTAAAGTTTATTGAATTGAAATTAAAAGTTAGTAAATTGAAATGGAACACACAAACATCGATATCTTAGCCATTAGTGAGCTGAAATGGAATGGATTGGTATTAGCCATTTTGAATCTGACAATCACAAGGTTTACTATGCCAGGAATAACAAATTGAAGTGGAATGGCATTCATCATCTAAAAGAACATTTCAAAATCTATCTTAATGTACAACGCTGTCTGTGACAGAATAATATTCATAAGCCTACAAGGAATATAAGTCATTACCACTATTATGCATCAACAACTAAAGCCACGGATGATGAAACTGAAGAATTCTATCAATTTCTTCAGTTTGAAATTGATCAAATATGCAACCAAGATGAATTGATAATTACTAGTGATAGCCTCGGAAACACTGTACAGGGTCGCTATGAGTCGGAACCGACTCCACGGCACATAAGAACAACAAGTGATTGGAATGCAAAGGTTGGAAACAAAGAGGAAAGATCAGTACTTGGAAAATATGGCCTTAGTGATAGAAATTATGCTGGAGATCACATGATAGAATTTTGCAAGACCAATGACTTCCTCATTGCAAATGCCTTTTTAAACAAATAAAAGATGATTATACACATGGAGCTTACAAGATGGAATACACAGAAATAAAATTGACTATGTCTATGGAAAGAGACAGTGAAAAAGCTCCATATCATCAACCAATATAAGGCCTGTGGAACAGATCATCTACTGCTCATATGCAAGTTCAGGATGAAGATGAAGTAAATTAAAACAAGTCCACAAGAGCCAAAATATGACCTTGAACACATCCCACCTGAATTTAGAAATCACCACAAGAACAGATTTGATGTATTAGACACTAATGACCTAAGACCAGAAGAGTTGTGGGATGGCATCAGAAACATTATACAGGAAGAAAGCAAAAGATGATTAACAAGACGAGAAAGTAGGGAAAGGACAAAAATGGATGTCAAAAGAGACTCAGAAATTTGGTATCCAGCATAAACATGCTAAAGCAAATGGAAGAAATGAGGAGGTAAAAGAGCTGAACAGAAAATTTGAAAGGTCAGCTCAAGAAGACAAAGTCAAATATTATAATGGAATGTGAAACGATCTGGAGTTAGAAAACAAAAAAGTAAGACCATGCTTAGCATTTGTCAAGCTGAAAGTACTGAAGAAAAAATCAAAACTCAATTTGCCATATTGAAGGATTCTATGCAAAAAATATAGAATGATACAAAAAGCATCAAAAGAAGGTGGAAGAAATACAGGCATTGTACCAAAAAGAAGGCGTACTGGCATGGCGCTGTGGGCTAATGCGTCAGACTGCAAAGTTGTTTGAATTGAAAGGTCGGTGGTTCAAGCTCACCAGCTGCTCCTTGGAAACCCTATACATAGGGTCATTATGGATCGCAATCGACTCAACAGCACTTAACAACAACAACACCAAAAAGAAACAGACTATGTTCAACCATTTCAAGAGGTAGCATATGATCAATAGTCAATGGTTCTTAAGGAAGAAGTTAAAGGTGCACTGTTGTTGTTGAGTGCCATCGAGTCAGTTCCAACCCACAGTAACCCTGTATAGGGTTGCACTGCCAACCTTGTGGTTCAAACTGACTTATGCAGTCCTGCACATTAACCCACAGCGCCACACCAGGACTCCCAGGTTCAATGAAGGCATTGGAAAAGAACAAGATTCCAGGAATTGATTGAATATATATTGAAATCTTTCAACAAATTGAGGCAACACTGGAGGTACTCACTCATTTATGCCAAGAAATTTGGAAGACAAATTTGGAAGACCTGTAAAACCAATTGGAAGAGATCCAAAGAGAGGTAACACAATGGAATGTGGAAATCATTGGACAGTATCATTAATATTGTATTAAAGTAAGATTTTGCTAAAGATAATTAAAAACTAGCTGAAGCAGTGCATTGTCAGGAGATGGCCAGAGGTTCAGGTGGGATTCAGATGATGGGGAAATGGAACAAAGGATATCACTGTTGACATCAGGTGGATTTGGATTTGGGTTGAACGCAGAAATTACCAGAAAGATATTTACCTGTGATTAATAGACTATGCAAAGGCTTTGGATTGTGTGGATCATGACAGCTATGGACAACATCATGGAGAATGAATATTCTGGAACACTTAATTGTGCTCATGAGGAATCTGTACATAGACCAGGAGGCAGTTGCTCGAACAGAACAAGGGGACACTGACTAGTTTAAAATAAGGAAAGGTGTGCAGCAGGGTTATATTCTTCCACCATACTTATTCAATCTGTATGCTGAGAAAGTAATCTGGGAAGCTGGATTATATGAAGAAAAATGAGGCATCAGGATTGGAGGAAGACTCATTAACAACCTGCAATATGCAGATGATACAACCTTGCTTGCTGAAAGTACAGAGGACTTTGAATACTGATGATGATCAAAGACCAAAGCCTTCAATATGTGTTGCATCTCAATGTAAAGAAAACAAAAATCCTCACAACTGGAACAATAAATAACATCAAGATAAACGGAGAAAAGATTGAGGTTGTCAAAAACTTCAATTTGCTCGGACCAACCATCTATACCCATTGAAGCAGCAATCAAGAAATCAAACGATATATTTCTTAAGACAAATTTGCTGCACAAGACTTCTTTAAGGTGCTCAAGAGCAAAGATGTCAGTTAGAGGACTAAGGTGCACCTGACCCAAATCATGGTATTTTCAATAGCCTCATATGCATGTGAAAGTTGGATAGTGAATGAGGAAGACCGTAGAAGAATTGATGCATTTGAGTTATGGTGTTGGAGGAGAATATTTAAAGCACCATGTACTACCAGAACAAAAAAAAAAATCTGTGTTGGAAGAAGTCAGCCAGAATGCTCCTTAGAAGTCAGTATGGTCAGACTGCATCTCTCATACTTTGGACATATTATCAAGAGGGACCAATCCCTGGAGAAGGACATCATGCTTGGTAAAGCGGAGGGTCAGTGAAATAAAGGAAGACTCTCAAAGTGATGGATTAGCACAGCGGGAACAGCAATTGGCTGTAGCAGAGCAATCATTACAAGATTGGTGCAGCACTAGGCAGTTTTTCATTCTGTTGTGCATAGAGTCACTATGAATTGGTATTGACTCAGTGACATGTAATGACAACAAGGATTCTGAGTTACAACACTGGGTGAATGCTAGGGCAGAATTCATAATGTTATAATAATACCTACCTCTGTGAACTCATCCTCCTCCTCCATCACCATCATTCACTTATAAATTAAGGTTTGAACAAATTATAGTAGAAGATTCTGGAACAAATGTTGTATATGAAATCCAACAAGAATGTTTCAAAATGAGGAAGAAAGAAGAGAGAAAGAACTTTGGAACATAGGCACTTCCCCAAATGTGTGTACATGTGTGTGATCAGATTCTTTTGCAAGCATTTTACAACTACACTTGCTTCTCTCTATCTTCCTACATCACTGCCCCACTGTGCACCTATAGGAACCCATTTCAAAGTCAGTCATTGTATTGATATGAACTTTTATGACCTTCATGTATGCTGGGAGAGGAAAAAAAGCTGAGAAAAACTTAAGTATGGGAAGAAAAAAAAAATGGTTAAAGTCCAAGAACTCAAGAAAATATAAGAATTTAAGAGACAGAGCTAAGGAATTATCTGATAAAAATGGCAAGAAAGAGGAGAGAGAAATAGGACCGGATCTGAGAAGAGAAGCGGGCATGTGTGCACTGATTGTGTAAGGATTGCCTCATCTGGACAGAGAGCTAGTGCAAGAAGCCAGGCTGGCCCTGGTAGAGAGCTGTTTTCTAGGTGACGGGGCTCCTTGGGCATTTCATTTCCAAAGCAAAGCTGATCTCTGAGCCCTAAAGATGCACTTGGCTAAAGTGAAGAAACAAGATGCAGAGAGAAAAGTCATTTTCATCATCATACCAGCTCAACATATGAACTACAAATAATATTTCTATCACTTTTAGATAGCTAGCTCCAAGGGCAGGTCATGCATACAGAACTTTAGTCCGTTTTTAGGACCTTCCTCTTTAAAATGAAAGAGTAAACAGGGACATCCATTATATATATAAAGACAGGAAGCAGAATAAATTTTCCAAAAGGAGGTAAGTGAAATCCTTAGAGAGAAAGAAGAAACTAAAGCTATAGGAGGCAATGAAGAGGAACATTCAGAATTATCAAAAATTAAGGAATTTAAAATAAGAGTTTTGAAAGTGTGGATTCGGAAGGAGGAGTGTGTGACAAAATGATAATAACAGAAGCACAACCAAAAACAACATTAAAAGAAAATATTGAAGCTATATAAAGCTACAGTCCTTCAAACAGTACAGTGCAGTCGTTGTTGTTGTGAAGTGCCATCGAGTCGGGTCCGACCCATAGTGACCCTGTACAGGGTTTCCAAGGCTGTAAATCTTTACGGGAGCAGAAAGCCTCATCTTTCTCCCATGGAGTGGCTGGTAGTTTCGAATTGCTGGCCTTAAGGTTCACAGCCCGATTCATAACCACTGGAGAGATAATATGGATTTTCACTCTCCAAAGGAGGTGTACATATCTAGACTGCACATTTACATAGTGGAAGGATGTTCTTTTTTTTTTTTTTTTTACAAAATTTTCAGCTTTTAAAAACGTCTAGTTCGTAATGTTTTTTTAGTAACCCATTTCAGAGGTCTGTTTTAATCACACAGTATAACCTTGTTCTTGATCTATATACCAGCATGGCAGTCCATGGCACTTATTCACTTATTCATCAAGTCAGTACTGACTTGATGGCATCTAACAACAAAAATATTTACGGAAGAAAGCCTCACCTTTCTCCCGTGGAACTGCAAGTAGTTTCGAACTGCTGATCTTGAGGTTCGCAGCCCGATTTGTACCCACTACATTAGCAGAGGTGCTTGCAAGACCCTCATAGACCTAGGAAAAGATTGCTACTCTGTAGACGTGGAGATATCTAAGAAACTCTGAGCTCACAGATGTTGAATGAAGAGAAGGATCTTCCTGCTAAACTGGGTTCTAACAGAGAGAAAAAGCTTCCCTGAGAGCTGGTGGCCCTACATTCAAACTCCTGGTCTCCTAAACTAAGAAAGAATACATTTCTATTCCTTAAAGCCACCCACTTGTATTTCTGTTCTAGCAATACTAGATAACTAAATCATTAGCCAGTAGATTTTCAGCACGCACTAACCCTAAGATCCAAATTGCTTGCCAGACAAAACCCTGTCCTGGTGTGGCATCGTGAGTTAATGCGCTGGACTGCAATGCCAGTTTGAACCACAAGGCTGGTGGTACAAGCTCACCAGCTGCTCTTTGCAAAACCCATACAGGGTCTTTATGGGTCAGAACCAACTCGACAGCACTTAACAACAATATAATTTCAACTTGTTGTCTTTCCCCAGGTGCAATCATCTATGCGGCCCTGTGCTGAGGCATGCTGTGGTTTGCTATGGATACTAAATTGTATTTGTTTCTGGTCTTTCTGCATGAATATCAATCACTTATTTGTACTACATCTGATAGTCCATCTACAACACTCACAGACCACCCTTTGAATCCAACTTAAAGATGTTAAATATGTATATTTAAGACACAATCTATGCATACAACAAATCTCTAAGGACAAACAGCCAAAGTCATCCTAAATCTAGCCTTCTGTGCAGACACGATCACCAGTAGTGCCCTGCCCTCTCAAAAGCAGCCATCACAAATGCCTTGGCGCTTCACTCCATCCCACTTACACTGACTATTGGTCACTCTCAGGAGAGGATCTCCTATTCTTCAAGAACCAGGGTGGCCCAAGTGCTACCTCTCTTACCATCCTGAAGGCCCACAGCCTCTCTTGGTCTCACTGTGTCTTCAGGATGACTAATCCCAGATCAATGACCTCAAAATGCTATTGGTAGCTTTGTTGGGGGGCACAGGGCTCCCTATTTGTAGGCCTAGGTGCTTTGCCTGAGCATCCCCTGCCTCTCACTGGACAGCTCTGCCTCCCTCTCAGCCCAGATGTCCCCATGAGAATCAGAATTAATTCCTTCAAAGCCATGATGGCCAGACCTTTGACCTTAAACTGCCGCTGCTGCTGGCCACTCACCAGCTGACTGCACCCCTTGCTTAAGTAGGCTGCCTCACCCTCACCTATTTCCACCCAGGAGGGGGCACTGAGGAAGTGTAAGGGGTTGCACAGGTGCAAACAGCTGATATGAATCCTGCCATTCCCGGGCACCCAAGTACCCCACTTCAGGGTTCTTTCTGACCACAGCCCAGCCTGATCTTGCCACCCTTAGGGGCTGAGAATTGGGGCCAGATCCTAGGATCTCTGTTATTTCTCGAGCCCACCTTCAGGACACTTCAGGAAAGTACTCACCCTTTTTCTTCCAGAAAGGCTCTTTATAATAAACTATACACTTGATGACTGAACCCAGAGGCACACGCGTGATCAGCTGGTTTCTCATCATTGGCAGAGGAGGACTGAAATGAATCTTCATGCCCAGAGTAGGAGGAATAGCGCTAATCACATATTTAGCCTGGAAGAAAAACCATGTAGTGAAGCATTGTTGGTTGACTGTTCCCTGTTCAGCCCCACCCAGTTATTCTCCCTTATTCTACCCATATGCCCCTTCAGTGTCTTTTTAACACAGAAGATGGAGGAGGTCTGCTAAAACCTAAATTAGATCATATTGTTCCTTCTCAAAACCTCCAATGATTTCGTATGATGCCTAGAGTCAAAGGCACGGTTCTCACAGTCATACATGTGCCTCCAAGTTTGCTTCTACTTCAGGGCCTTGACACTGGTTGTTCTAGATGCCTAGAACACTCTTTCCACAGAGAGCCACGTTATTCAATCTCCCACCCTACCTTCTTGCACACACTCATTTCCTGCCCTGCTTTAAAATTTCCACTACCGAAGGATCCCAGGTGGTACAGCGGTTAAGCACTCAACTGCTAGCCAAAAGGTTCGAAGTTTGAACCCACCACAAGAGAAAATTGTGTCAGATTGCTTTTGTAAACTTCTACTCTGTCCTATAAGGTATCTATGAGTCAAAATTGACTCAGCAATGGGTTATTACTATCTAATATGCTTAATATTTAAGTATTCATTTGATTATGGTTGAAGTTCTAACCCTCAGTATCTAGGACTGTGAACTTGTTTGGTAATCAGGTTTTTGAAGTGGATATCTGGTGGAGCCGTGAGCTACATCACCACTCGTCCGTCAGTTTGTCATACTGTGGTGGCTTGTGTGTTCCTGGGATTCTGGAAGCTATGCCATGGGTATTTTAAACACCAGCAGGGTCACTCATGGTGGCCAGGTTTCAGCTGAGCTACCAGACGAAGACAGACTAGGAAGAAGGAGAGATGGACAACTTCTGAATATTTAGTCACTGAAAAACTTATGAATAACAATAGAACACTGTCAGCACTAGAATGTTTTATACTGAAACATGATGAAGAACACCAGAATATTTTCAGATACAGCGCCAGAAAATGAGCTCCTTAGGTTGGAAGGCACACAAAATGTGACTAGGGAAGAGCTGTCTCCTCTCAGAATGAAACGAATGACGTAAAGCCCATGGGATCTTCATTTGCTGCTAGGGCACAACTCAAAATGAAGAGAAACAGCTGTATACATCCATTAATAATAGGAAAATGGAATGTACGAGTATGAATCTAGGAAAATTGGAAATTATAAAAAATGAAATGGAACGTGTAAGCATTAACATCCTAGACATTAGTGAGCTGAAGTGGACTGGTATTGGCCATTGTGAATCTGACAACAACATGGTTTACTATGCCAGGAATGAAATATTGAGAAGGAATGGTGTCACATTCAACATCAGAAAGAATATATCAAGCTCAGCCATGAAGCACAACGTTGTCTGTGATAGGATGATACCAATATGCCTATAAGGAAGGCCGGTTAATACCACTATTATTCAAATTTACACACCAACCACTAAAGCTAGTGATGATGAAAATGAAGAATTCTACCAACTTCTTCTGTTTGAAACTGATCATAGATGCAATCAAGATGTGTTGATAATTACTGGCAATTGGAATGCAAAGGTTGGAAACAAAGAGGAAGCATTAGTAATTGAAAAATACGGCCTTGATGATAGACATGATTCTGGAGATTGCATGATAGAACTTTGCAAGACCAATGACTTCTTCATTGCAAATATTTTTTTAAAACAACATAAAAGATGACTGATACACATCCTCACCAGAAGGAATACACAAAAATCAAACTGACTACATCTGTGGAAAAAGATGGTGGAAAAGCTCCATATCATCAGTCAAAACAAGGCCAGGGGCAGACTGTGAAACAGACCATCAAGTGCTCTTATGCAAATTCAGGCTGAAGCTGAAGAAAATGAAAACAAGTCTTCAAGCCAAAATATGACCTTAAATATATCCCTCCTGAATTTAGAGATCATCTGAATAACAGATTTGATGCATTGGACACTAAGACTGAAGACCCGAAGAGTTGTGGGATGACATCAGGAACATCATACAGGAAGAAAGCAAAAAGTCATTAAGAAGACAAGAAAGAAGGAAAAGACCAAAAATGGATGTCAGAAGAGACTCTGAAACTTGCTCTCTAGCGTAGAGGTGCTAAAGCAAATGGAAGGAGCCAGGAGGTACAAGAGCTGAACAGAAAATTTCAAAGGTCACTTCGAGAAGACAAAGTCAAATATTATAAGGAAATGTGCAAAGACCTGAAGTTAGAAAACCAAAAGGGAAGAACACGCTCTGCATTTCAAGCTGTGTGAATTGAAGAAAAAATTCAAACCTCAAATTGAAATATAAAGGATTCTAAGGGCAAAATATTGAATGATGCAGAAAGTATCAAAAGAAGATGGAAGGAATACACAGAGTCACTGTATTAAATTTTTTTTTTAAAAAAAGGTCGATGTTCAACCATTCCAAGAGGTAGCATATGATCAAGAGCCAATGATCCTGAAGGAAGAAGTCCTAGGTGCACTGAAGTCATAGGCAAAGAATAAGGGATAGATGGAATACACATTGAAATCTTCCAACTAACTAATGCAGCACTAATTTGGAAGACCTGGCCAAATGACTGGAGGAGATCCATATTTGTGCCCCTTCCAAAGAGAGGTGACCCAACGGAATGTGGAAATCTTCGGACAACATCATTGATACCCATGTGAGTAAAGTTTTACTAAAGGTAATACAGAAATGGCTACAAGCATACATTGACAGAGAACTTCCAGAAGTTCAAGCCAGATTCAGAAGAAGATGTGGAATGAGGGACATCATTGCAGATGTCAGATGAATCTTGGCTGAAAGCAGAGAATACCAGAAAAATGTTTACCTGTGCTTTATTGACTATGCAAAGGCTTTCGATTGTGTGGATCATGACAAGCTATGAACAACATTGCGAAGTATGAGTATTCTGGAACACTTAATTGTGCTTATGAGGAACTTGTACATAGACCAAGAGGCAGTTGTCCAAACAGAACAAGGGAACACCGAATGGTTTAAAATTAGGAAAGGTGTGTGCCAGGGTTGTATTTTTCGATCTGTATGCTGAAAAAATAATCTGAGAAGCTGAATTATATGAAGCAAAGTGTGACATCAGGATTGCAGGAAGAGTCAGTAACAACCTGCAATATGCAAATGCAATATTCAACCTTGCTTGTTGAAAGTGAAGAGGACTTAAAATACCTACTGATGAAGATCAAAGACCACAGCCTTCAGTACGGGTTGCATCTCAATGTAAAGAAAACAAAACTCCTCACCATTGGATCAATAAACAACATCCATATAAATGGAAAAAAGATTGAAGTTGTCAATGACTTCATTTTGTTTGGATCAACCATCAATACTCATGGAAGCAGCAGTCAAGAAATCAAATGATGTACTATTGCCTTGAGCAAATCTGTTGTATAAGACCTCTTTAAAGTGTTGAAGAACAAAGATGTCAGTTTGACTCAAGCCATGGTTTTTTCAATAACCTCATATGCATGTGAAAGTTGCACAGTGAATAAAGAAGATCGTAGAAGAATTGACACATAAGGTGTTGGAGGAGAATATTGCAAGTGCCATGCACTGTCAAAAGAACAAATCAGTCTGGTTGTAAGAAGTACAACCAGAGTGCGCCTTGGAACGCAGGATGGCCAGACTTCATCTCTCATACTTCGGAGGGAGAAAGATATAATGTTTGGTAAAGTGGGGGGTTGGAGAAAAAGAGGAAGACCCCAACAAGATTGATTGGCACAGTGGTGGCAGCAATGGATTTAGGCTTAGCAATGATTGTGAGGTTAGCGCAGAACCTGACAGTGCTTCATTGTGTTGTACAGAGTCACTATGGGTCAGTATCGACTTGATGGAACCTAACAAGTGGGCTATGTGTTGCGCCATTAACCTCAAGGCTAGTAGTTCGAATCTTCCAGTTGCTCTGAAGAAGAAAGATGAGGCTTTCTGCTTCCATAGATTTATAGCCTCAGAAACCCTATAAAGGTCGCTGTGAGTTAGAACCAATTCAATGGCACCCAATAACAACCATCAGTTAAGTCAGCATGAGGTCATACTGATGTGGTTGTAATGTTGTGCTGTGGAGTTGGTTCCAACTCATTGCGACCCTGTATAGGATTTCCGAAGCTGTAAATCTTCATGGGAGCAGAAAGCCTCATCTTTCTCCTACTATACTAATCAACACTGGACTGCTAACCACAAGGCTGGCAATTCAAACTCACCAGTCACTCCTTGAAAACCCTATACATAATGGTTATAAGTCAAAACTGACTCAATGGCACTTTAACAACAACAACAACAGCACTCTACTATGAATGAGTCTTGGGGATGCAATGGTTAAGTACTCTCCCTTTGAACCTATCCAGAGATTCCCTGGAAGAAAGACCTGGCAATACATTTCCTTAAAGATTATAGCCTAGGGAACCCTATGGAACAGTTCTACTCTGTCACATGTCACATGGAGTCACTGTGAGTTACTCGATGGCACCTGAAAACAACAATCCAATATAAATAGAGGAAAAGAGAGAGACTGTGGCATGGTGAATTATCGAATGTCTCTTCTAGTTATAGTTTATAACTCCTACCAAAACAACATTTCTTGCCCTGCTTGGTCTGAGTAAGAAAAGGTGGGAGAAGATACTTACAGGATGACATGATTCAGCTGTGAGCGTTAGCAGAGTTCATTGTCATTGTAAATCCTTGAACATCTAGCATGGGTTTAAAATGAGCCATCTCAGAAGCAGGAGTGGAGGATCTAATTAGCATCAAAGAAGGGCCAGGAGTGGACCATGTCCTTTGGACCCTGAAATCCCTGCACATTGAACCTCCTTGACCCAGGGATAGAAAGCTCTGACACTGGAGGTGTGACAAAGAAGCAGCAGCACAAGACAGAGCAGTGGACTTCCCAACACATGGAACAAGTCAAGCTTAGTGAGTTTGGGCAGGAAGCTTGCTTATAGAGTGGGGTGTCAGATTTGCTGACACATGGAGCTCAGCTTGAGCTAAGTGCTGTCAAGCTGAGGCTTAAGGTAGAATGCTATGTCCTATGGGCATTTATCAGAAGGTGACTGGAACACTGATGCCCTGAACATTTTCTGATCCTGTATTGTAACCTGTTAATTTCCTTAGTAAACCCCATAACTTTTGGCATGGTGTCTGAGATCTGTATGGCTATTGCTAAGGATTATTGAACCCACCTGAACAGAGAGGGTTATGGGAGGAGAGGTTTGTTGTCAATATTTTTGCAGAGATACATAGAGAAGAAAGCATATGAAGGCAGAGACAAGAGATTGGAGTGATGCATCTACAGTCCAAGGAACACCAAGGATTATCAGGAATTAGAAGCTAGAAGAGACAAAGAAGGATCTCTGCTTAGAGTGGACAGATAGAGAACATCTTGATTTTGAACTTTTGCTCCCAGAATTGTGAAAGAATAAATTTCTGTTGTTTTAAGCCATTTAGGGTGTGGTCATGGCAGTTCTAAGACAAACTGAAACAGTTATCTCAGTGATTCTGGCCTCTTCCCTATAGTTTAAGGGCCTTGTTGTTGTCAAGTGCTGTCATGTCGATTCCGACCCATAGCGACCCTGTATAGGGTTTCCAAGGAGCAGCTGGTGAGATTGAACCACCGACCTTGCAGTTCAAACGGCTTTGCAGTTTGGCGCATTAACCCACAGCACCACACTAGGACTTAGGTACCTCATAAATCTCATGATTTAGGGTCTCCACAAGGATATTTTCTCCTTTCTGGTTAATGTGGGTCACAGGCCTCTCCAGCTTCACTCGGTCCCCAAGGAGATCCATAATCCGCTCACTCACTTGACCAGATCCACCTACAAACTTCCTCTCCTGGAAAAAAACACACAAAAAACCCACAAAAAATACTCAAGAGGTGGGTTACATATGAAGTATAGAAACATGCATGGATTGGTAAATTGCTAGTTTCTCTCACATATCTTTATTCTGTGATATTTAAAATTTCTTTTTGTGTTGTAAATGATGTCTTTCACCATTATTTTCTATGTTATCTAATGCTGCTATAATAAGAATACCCCAAGTGGATGATTTAAAACAAAATGGAAATTTATTGTCTCACAGTTAACGAAATTAGAAGTCTGAATTCAGGGTACTGATGATAAGGTATGGCTTTTTTGTTGTTGTTGGCTCTGGCGACTAGTCCTTGTCTCTGTACCTTGTTGCCTGGTTCCTTGGAGATCGCCATGTGGTGTGGCACCAGTCTTCTCCCATCTCTGCTTCTTTTATATTTTATAAGAGATTGGCTCAAAACACAATCTACATTAATCATGTCTCATTAACATAACAAAGACAACTCAATTCCAGGTGGGATTATAAAGGCAGGCATAGAGATTAAGATCTACAACACATTCTTGGACTACTGGGTTTAGTAAAGCTCTCTGTAAAGTTGGACCCATGCTTGCTTGAGCACACTTAAACCTGTTTTCATCTTTCTGGTTGCTCAGGCTCAGAACCTCACTGACCTACCTAGGCCAGTCTTCTCACTGCTGGTGGTTGCTGCTCTTATCCTGGATCAGGTACTTTCTGCTTCTGTGGTCTTGTCAATCACAGTACCCACCTGCCTGGAGCTCTGCTAAACCTTCTAGATGTTCTCGGCATGATTATTCAAACAGAGTTGAGCTGACTACCTCCTCCTAAATCTTTACTTGGTATTTTAAAAACAAACTCTTTCAAAAAGATCTGAAAATAAAAATGAAAGAAGAAAGGAAAATTTGAATCCACAGTGCCTTATATGAAACTAGGTCTTAAGAAAGAGACATGGCAAGAATGAATGAGTAAAGGAACAAATTCAGTGTGTGTGTTGTGTGTGTGTATGTTTGTTTAATTGAAACTGCACTCCTGATCTTTCTTTTTGAGCTTTCCAAAAAGTGCTCTAGTTATGTTTAGATCATCTCCTATAAGCCTGTTGTTGTTGTTGTTATGTGCCATCAAGTCGGTTCCGACCCATAGCGACCCTGTATAGGGTTTCCGAGGGTGTAAATCTTTACGGGAGTAGAAAGCCTCATCTTTCTCCCGCGGAGCACCTGGTAGTTTTGAACCGCTGACCTTAAGGTTCGCAGCCCGATTCGTAACCACTACGCTACCAGAGCTCCTATAAGCCTACCAGGTAATAATTGGATGGATACCTGTCATGGATTGAACTGTGTCCTCCCAAAATATGTGTTGTAAATCTTAACCTTTATACCTGTGGTTGGAGTCCTGGTATGGCGCTGTAGGATAAAGCACTGGACTGCAAGGTTGGCGGTTCAAACTTATGAGCAGCTCCTCAGAAACTCTTTACACAGTCGCTATGAGTCAGAACTGACTAGGTGGTACTTAACAACAACATACCTGTGGTTATAATCCTATTTGGGAAGGGGCTATCTTTGTTAAAATAATGAGACAGGATTACTGTAGGGTGTCTTTGAGTCAAAATAATTTTTTTTTTTTTTTGAGATACAAAAGAGATTAAGCAGGCAAGCAGAGACGTGAGAGCTGCCAAGACAAGACACATGTAGATCTCTAAGGAACTAGGAAGCAGAAGCTGAAGAGACAAGGACTTTCCTGTAAAGTTGACGGTGAGAGAAAGCCTTATCCTAGGCCAGCACCCTGAATTCAAACTTCTCCCCTCCTAAACTGTGAGAAAAGGGATTTCTGGTTGTTAAACTCATCCACTTGTGGTATTTCTGTTTTAGTAGCACAAGAAAACGAAGACAATATCCAAATGGAAAACTGCAAAAGTACATGAAGAGGCATGCCTAGTTTTAAAATGCCATTGGCCTCAAATGGGGTAGTTAACAACAGATTGCAAAAGCTACCGTGAGCTGTTAAAACACAGCTCTAAGGGGCATCTGCTTCCTGTTTCATTATTTCACAATTGAAGTATGACCCGAAACGATGGCAATCTTCCTTTGAGGCAGTGGCTGGTTTTCTGTTGGAAGGATGGAAGGATGACTGAGTACCTGTCCTCCATTGGTTGTTGACATGATCCTGGTTGTGCCCCCGCACTGCTTCACATACCACAGGAACCAGAGAGCAGAGACTTCATGGGTCTCCGCAGTGACACAGAGGTTCACAAAGAGAATGGCAAGCTGCTTTGCAGATCTGCTCAGGAAGAACCAAGAATACAATGGGCAAACATGGGAATTCCAGGGTCTAGTGTCTTCTTAATTTTCTGGTATTTAGTCAAGTAGGAAATTTAGAGCTCTGGTAGCGGAGTGGTTATGAATTGGTCTGCTAACCTCACGGTCAGCAATTTGAAACTACCAAACATTCCTTGGGAGAAAGACGAGCCTTTCTGTTCCTGCAAAGATTCACACCCTCAGAAACCCTATACAGAGTCACTATGAGTCTGAACTAACTCCACGGCATACCACCACCACGTTTACTGTAATTTGTCAAATCTCAGGTATCCGTAGTTAGAATCCAACACTATAAACATCTGTGACTTCGGACGTTGATAATACAGGATTTATTTCCCTTTTAACAAAAATATCTTTCCCAGAATCAGCTTATATCCAGGTTCTGTGTGATCATGATTTCACCCCTCCAAACTTTTTCCCAGTGATCCCCATCTTAATTTCATCTAAGGCCAAATATCTAAAAATGATCCTTAATTCCCTCTCTATCACTCTCCCCCTTCCAATCCTAGAAGTCCTGTTGTCTCTAACCACATCTCTTCATTTTCATCATCACCAATTTAGCATCATCTCTTGCCATAAGTATTGCAATTACTTCCTCCAGATTGAGCTCTCTGTCTCCACTCTTCTGCCCTGGCATCTATTCACCATGCTTGAAAAACCCTATGCTTTTCACCGCCCTCCTTGCCAAGCTGCTCTTTCTAAAGTATAAATTACATCATTCCACCATTATAATTAACAGTTTCCAGTGGTATCATCAGAAAAAAATTCAGAACTTGTACTATAACCTCCAAAACCCTAAGTAATCTAGCCTATGCCTACTTTTACTATCTTACCCATACCTTCTTTTGTTTATTTTTGTGCTTGTTCAGAAAGACACACTGTTATTTTGTGTATGAAGATTAGCACTAATTTCTACATTCCCTGCCCTCTGGCATTTTGATTACAATTTCCTATTTGGAAATGATGTTGATTAGTAGTTTATATATATATATTATTGCTGTCTTCCCCACTAGAATATAAACCATGAAACAGAGACTGTCTCTTTTTTGCTCACCATAGTTGCCCCTTTAACAAAATACTGTCTAGCGCTTTATAAGCATTCAGTAATTGTTGAATGAATGAGTGAATAATTAATGAGAATTGTCAAGTAAACACGATTTAAAAATCATGAAAAATGTACAAATGCTAGGTACTACGCCAAATATAGACTTGGTCACCGCATCGATTCAGTTGTTTAACTACCTAATGGAAGAGAAGATCAAAGGAGGAACAAGGGGGGCGAGTAATTAATAGAATATAGATGGGTGAAATCTGATTTGGTGTAGGCAGGTAAATGGAGAGCAATTGCTCACTTTCGAGTGTGTTTCTAGGTAGCATGTAATCTCAAAGCATCAGGAATATCTAGTACAACGTGAAATTCATGGGCTCTAACATGTCCCTGGTGTGGCACAGTAAGACAAGCACTGGACTGCAAAGTCAGTTAGAACTGCAAGGTTGGCAGTTCCAACCCACCATTCGTTCCTCAGAAACCTTAAACAGGGTCACTATAAGTTGAAACCGACTTGATGGCTCATAACAATAATAACAATAGCATGCCCTCTGGAATAGAATTAATACAGCCATCCTTTTATTATGAACTTTCCCTCAAGTCTGAATATTGTTGTTATTAGCTGGTCTCAAGTCAATCCCTAACTCACGGTGACCGCATGATGGAATAATATGTTGCCCAGTCCTGTGCCGTCCACATGATGGGTTGCAAATTGAAACATTGTGGTTCTCAATGTTTTCCCTGACTGATATTTCAAAGTACACTGATATCCCTTTCAAGCAATTGTCCAGACAAGTCTGGAAGTTTGAAAAACTGTTCGGCATCATAGCAACATGCAAACTGTCATGGACAGATGGATGGGTGGTGACTACACATGAGGTACACTGGTTGAGAATAGAACCCTGGTCTCTCACAGAGAAGGCGAAAATTTTCCCACGGAACCTGCTGGAGTATAGTTAACCTGGTTATAGGTGAAGCCGAATTTGCTACCTAGTAATGCACTCAACTAGTGGTTACGAATTGGGCTGCTAACTTCAGGGTCAGCAGTTCGAAACTACCAGCTGTTCTGCTGGAGAAAGATGAGGCTTTCTGCTCCTGTAAAGATTTACAGCCTTGGAAACCCTGTGCTGGGTCGCTATGAGTCGGAACTGACTCCACGGCACATAACAACAACAACAACAATGCACTCAACAACAACAATGTTGACAATGGGTGAGATAAATAATACCATCTTCCATTTACTGAAAATTTCCCACACTCCATAGACTTTAAAGCAATAATCTTACTGAATTGTCATAACACTCATATAAAATAGTTAACCAATTTTCTCCAGTATCAGAGAGTTTAATAAACATAGCTCATTAAATAGTACAACTTGAAAGCAGATTAGATCTGGCTCTGAAACCCATGCTTTTATTATCTGAAAAAGCTTGATAGTGCAAATAGTCACCAATGAGCATGTCTTTATTCTACAGCATCTTTATTCTGTAGGTTTGTAGACTTACACCTAATATACTTTATTGACAATGTTTGAAGCCGTAACAATCTGACAGCACTTTTGTAACAATCCCCACCAGTAAAACCAGCAAAGTGGTTTAATGTATAATAGGCTTTAGTGACTTAGAGTTAGTTTTGCAAGATTCTGTCTGATAATTGCTGTTGTTGTTAAGTGCCGTTGAGTTGGTTCTGACTCATGTTGTTGTTGTGTGTCATCGAGTCAGTTCCGACTCATAGCATCCCTGGATAGGGTTTCCGAGGCTGTAAATCTTTACGGGAGCAGAAAGCCTCATCTTTCTCCCACAGAACAGCTGGTAGTTTCAAACTGCTGACCTTGTAGTTCGCAGCCTGATTGGTAACCACTACGCTACCAGAACTCCTGGTGAGCTTGAACCGCCGGCCTAGTGGTTCAAACCAACCTTGCAGTCAGCGCTTTAACCCACAGCACCACACCAGGACTCCTTTCTGATAATTGGAGGGATGGAAATTTCTCACTCATACATTCTTCCTTGTGCAGGCAATTTGTAGCATCTATCTAAAGCAAATATCCAGACATCAGTTTAAAATATTATTTTAAAGTAAAAAAAAAATCCTTTGCTAGTTCCTGATTTCACAGGTTTCTTTGTTCCTTGTTTCACAGGTGAATTTGGGGGCAATGGTAAAAATAACAAAACTTAAAACTGGTTCAATTTGTTTTTGCTATGTGCTGTGGAGTCGGTTCCAACTCATAGCGACCCTGCACAGGGTTTCCAAGGCTGTTAATCTTTACGGGAGCAGAACGCCTCATCTTTCTCCCGCGGAACGGCTAGACAGTCAAAATAAATATAAATATATTGCTGCTCTTCTAGGTGTATTGTTGTTATTTTGTTGGGCAAGAAACAATGTCGGTTTCAAATGGAAGGAAACAGAAAAGTAATTATTTCAGGAGAGCCAGTCCATTTCTAATTCTTTATTCAATTTACTTTGGGAGCTTCAATGAAAACAGAAAGAGAAGACCATTAACAGAGGGAAAGAAGGCCAAGAAAGCTAGTGTAATGTCCAAAGGATTCATTTCTTTGTCCTATTGACTTTTTGAAAGATAAATGTTATCACATTTTTCTACATGAAAAATACATACACATTGTATAAAATTTGAAAAGTCCAAAATAGTAAAAGGAAGATGAGAGAATAAGTATCTTCCATATTTCTGCTCCCTAAAAGATAATCATTGATCTTAGATATGTTTTTTTCTAGGTCAGGATTTTTACACATATATTTACATATTGTTGTGATCATGCTGTACATGTAATTTTACGTTTGGGGAAAGCACTTGATAATTGAAAGAATCATCACATTAGTCTTTGAATGATGTGACTGAACTTCAGTTTGATTGAAAACATGGTCTGGATGTTCTAGGAATTGCTTTCTTTTAAAAGCAGAAAACGATATCATGCATATCTTGATTTAAAAAGGTAGAAAATTGCTTTGTGTTCTTATGCTTCACAGAGACTTGCGATCCCATAGAAATATAATTGGACTTATTTATCTTAAAAGAGCTGAAACACTCTCTGGGGAAAAGATGGCTGACAGAGATTCTTAAAAACTTTTATAAAGCAAGATATAAATAAATGCATCCAATTACATACTCATTATATTGAAAAATCTAAATAATACAATTTAAAAATAAAGTGTACAGTTATGTTACAAAATAAATTATACAAGGGCCTTCAAAAAGTTGGTGAAAAATGGAATTGAAAGATGATGGAATATTTCCATGAACCATTTAAAGTTCCTCATTGTATTATAAGGAGTCCTGGTGGGACTGTAGGATAAGAGCTGGACTGCTAACTGCAAGTTTGGCAGTTCAAATCCACCCACAAGCTGACCCATGGGATAATGATGATACCTTCTACTCCCTTAACGATTTACAGTCTCAGAAACCCTATTAGGATCCTTATGAGTCGAAATGGCAGTGGGTTTGGTTTTGGTTTTCATTGAATTACAAACTGCATCCTCCTAAAAGTGTTAGGTTGCATTGAAAAAACGAGCTGCCATCAAATTGATTCCAACTTGTGGTTGGAATAGGGTTTTCCTTCAAAATATTTAAAGACCCTTTATTGAGGACAAATACTAAAGACATAAGCAAATCAGCATACGGTCATACTATTGTCAGAAGGATTTGCAGCTATGTGACTATTTATAGAGATGGAAAACAAAAGAAATTCATCACAAAATCATGATTGGTGGCAAACCAATTCATCACAATCACATTCGGGAAAGGGACCATGGTTGGGATAGGTAAACTACTGCAGATTAAAAAGTTTACAGGATTAGTTCTGGGGTCCTCAGACCAACTTGATCTAGGTATGACTCATGAAAGCGCTACCTTGGTATCTCAAGTTCCATTAAGGGCACCAAGTCCTGGTGTGGCGCTGCAGGATAAGCACTGGACTGCTAACCACAAGGTCAGTGGTTCACGCCCACCAGCTTCTCCTCAGAAACCCTATATGGAGTCAGTATTAGTTGGAACTGACTTGCTGGCACTTAATAACAGAATAGACCTGGTGGCACAGTGATTAAGGGTTCATCATTGCTATCAGAAGATTGGAAGTTCGAACACAGCAGGTTCTCTGTGCAAGAAAGATGTAGCTGCCTCAAAGATTAATACCTTGAAAACCTTATTGTTGTTGTTAAGTGCTGTCCATTGAGTTGCTTCTGACTCATTGTGATCCTGTATTAGGGTTTCCAAGGCATGGCTGGTGAGTTTCGAGCTGTCTACCTCGTAGTTCAAACCGACTTATGGGGCATTTCTATTCTGTTGGAATGGCTCTACATTAATGGGCGTGGTTTGGTTTTGAATGGGTCAAAGTAGACTGTGTGATCTTCCTCTGATGAGTGTAGAAAGAAAAAAAAAAAATGAAGGGAAAAAAATAATTACTTTAAGCATACCATAAACCAATTTTCATCAGTGAAAAGAAGGAAGTTGCAGTTGTAATTTTTATCTTGTGCCCTAATGTGTCAACTAATAGATTAATGAGCTTGACTTGTAGTTTTGAGCTGATATTATGGAAGTTATTTTTTAAATGGGTGTCTGATGTTTGGATAGCTTGCCATAAGTGCTACTTTCCATGGATTTGTCTCCAGTGCCCTCAAGTCTGTTCTAATCTATAGCAACCCTGTGTTGTTGTCAAGTGCCATCGAGTCGATTCCAACTCATAGTGAGCCTGCATAGAGTTTCCAAGGAGCAGCTGGTGGGTTTGAACCTGCTGATTTTGTGGTTTGCAGCCCAGTGCTGATCCTACACCAACACACCAGAAGCAACCCTATAGGGCAGAGTCAAACTGCCCCATGATGTTTTCGAGACTGTAGTCTTCCTGGGAGCAAATCACCAGGTCTTTTCTTACTCAGAATTGCTGGTGAGTTTAAACTGCGACTTTTCAGTTAGTGGCCAAGCATTTAACTATTGTGCCACCAGAGTTCCTTAATGCATAGTTAAATAATTTTATTTTTAAAATTGTATCATATATCATACTGCACATACTCATGACAACAGGCTTTTTTATGTATTTAATACAATTTTTAAAGGCACTAAATATTTTACATGATTATAAGAGATTCTATTTTTTTTAAGAATGGAAATTTCTTTCTTTGAACCACAACCCCCCTTTATTATTTTTTTATTATAATGTTCTTCTAGAAAAATGTGAGAATGTACACAGCATAACAGTTGCTATTTTTAAATTTTTTCAGGTATACAATTCAATGGCATTAACTCAGGATGATGTGTAATTATCACCACTATTTATTTCCAAAACTTTTCCATCACTACAAAGGAGTATTCTATTTTTCAGATGCTCTAAAATTAATTTAACCAATTTCCTATCAGTTGATATGCTTTTTCCACTTAAAAATAATGCTTTGGGTTAAAGAATAATGCTGAATCTGTGACACATCTCATAACATGGATGAACCTGAAAAACATTATGCTGAGTGAAATTAGTCGCAGAAGGACAGACGTTACGTGAAACCTCTATTATAAAAAGTCAAGAAAAGGTTTTCATATCAAAAGAAACATTATTTGAAGGTTACCAGGGGTTGGAAAGAGGACAAAATACTGACTAGAGGGTTGTTGTTGTTGTTAAGTGCCGTCGAGTCGATTCCGACCCATACCGACCCTGTATAGGGTTTCCAAGGAGCAGCTGGTGAGCTTGAACCACCGACCTTGCAGTTCAAATGGCTTTGCAGTCTGGTGCATTAACCCATAGAGCCACACCAGGCTAGAGGGTAGACATGTGCTAACTTGGGTGAAGGGAAAAATACAGAATTAAGTTTGTTTGTTTTTTTTAAATGCTTTGAATCTCTTTCTTTCTCTCCTTTTCTCCCTCCCTGTATGCCTTTCTCCCTTTCCTCCTTTCTCTCTCCTTCATTAAGCTAAATTCTAAGAAGTTGGGTTCCCACATCAAGGGGCATATGCTGTTTTATGTCTTTACTTCCACTTCCTAAATTCAGACAATCTGAAGACCTTTTCACTTTTAGTTGTCAATGTTTCAGCTTCCTTCCCCAATGCCCAGAGAATAAAGACAGCAACCCCAGCACCAAACAGATTCCCAAAGAATGTTGTTAGCATGGGAAGACTATCTCTTTGAATTGGGCTTCCTTTCCATTTTCATTGCTAAGAGCAGTGAGGCTTGTCCATATTGTCTGTTCATATAGCCCTGAGAATTTATATATAGCTCCATGTCAACACACATCTAATGCTTGACCTATGCTTATAATAATTGATTTCAAAGCCACATTTTTTTTTTTTTTTACTAAAGGGGTACATTCTGTCTAATCATATGCCCCCCATGCCCTACTGTTGTAAATTATCTATAGAACATCTCTAGAAATGCTTCTTTAATTTTTTGAAGAGTTGTACCCTATCATGCTTGGAGTAAAAGGCATGTTTCAAAGACATCTTTCTACTTGACCATCAGTGACAATTAAACAAAAAAGGTATTAGATCAACAAGGTAAACAATGGGATCTTTATGTGAATGGTCTTGAAGTTTTCTAAGTAAAGGAGGTGGCATATTCTGAGGACTTTACACCACTTTTGTGCTACAAAACGAATCCAAAGAAGTATGGTTTGATATATAGAGATCTTTAAGATATGATCCAGTTCCAATATTTTTCAGCATTCTGCCTAGCCTCTGGCATGGTTTTAGACACAAAGCAGTTAGTAGTCCCACATCTGCTGAATGATATTGCTAAATAAAGCTGACATGTAGTCACAATAAATGGCTATGTCTAATGTGGAGTCTTACTCGGTCCAGCAGATCTTGTCCAGGAATTCCTTCATTGTCATGTGGTCCCACTCTTCTGCAAGGGGTGCCTTCCATGGAGCATCGCTGGGAATCTACAGTCAGATCAGGATTTCGAAGGGGGAAAAAAATTAGTCAGAACTGACTCCACAGCACCTAACAGAGACACAGTAATTAGAGGGAATGTGATAAATGGACTGTTTCCAAATATGGAATGCTAAATTGCTGTTATAGAGAACATCAACAAATTCAGCTTTTTAATAAGGATTAGACATCTACTGCAAATCATATTAAAATTGGAGTTTCAGGTTAAGCTTTTAAAGTAAATGTTTATTTGGGGAATGGTGGAAACCCAAAGACCCAGAAGTTTTATTTTGTTACATCCTGAAAATTTTCTAAAATAGAATCATCAACCCAGGAAGGCTGAGTGTTACATGATCTTTCTCTCCTCACCAATAGTATATTTGGAATTCGATTAATTTAGAGGTCAGAAACAAGTTCCTTCACTCATTTCACAAATCTTCACTGAGAGTTACCATGTGCTAGATAATATGCTAGGACTGGTGGGTACCTTTTTTGCTTTTAAAGACCAACATTTTTATGAAAAAATACACATGTAGTCAAAAAAACTTTAGGAAGCTTTACCTCTCGTCCCATGTCATCCATTGTCCTCCATAGGTTATTATAATCTAGATAGGCAATTGGATTCCATACAGGTGGGAATGGTCCTCTGAAGGGGTATGATTTTCCCTGTGAAATACATGATATTTTTTTAAAGGAAATATTTATTACAATCTAAAATCTGACCAGTTGATAGATTTCTACAAGCCAAATCATTGTCATTACCAATATGTGACATTCATTCAAGTATTTTTGTTCCTTATATCCTTAAAAACCTACTTAATTTTTTAGAGTGGATTCCCAGCAAAACTCTCTGTCAATCAAATAAGTTTAGTGCCACAATAACCAAAGTTACAAAGAACTTTCTCTCTGTGATTTGAATTCCTATTATATAAAGTTTAAATGTTGTTTTTGTTGTTAGGTGCCATTGAGTCGGTACCGACTCATAGCAACCTTATGCACAGCAGAACGAAACACTGCCTGATCCTGGGCCAACCTCACTATTGTTGCCATGCTTGAGCCCATTGATGTTACCCCTTTCCCAATCCATCATGCTGGGGGTCTTCCTCTTTTTCTCTGACCCTCCACCCTACCAAACCTGATATCCTTCTCCAATGACTGGTCCCTCCTGACAAATGTCCAAAGTATGAGAGACGAAGTTTGGCCATCCTGGCCTCCAAGGAGCACTCTGGCTACACTTCTTCCAACACAGATCTTTTGGTTCTTTTGGCAGCCCATGGCACTTTCAATAGTCTCCTCCAACACCATAACTCAAAAGCATCAATTCTTCCACAATCTTACATAAATAGGGTTACCTAAACTAATCTCTTTCACAATGATACTTTCAAATATCTCAGAGTCAGGAGATCCTGTGTACTTGGAATGTCAGAAAAGTAAAACTATAAACATTATACAAGTTAAAAGGGAATGAAGACTAAAGTCATAGGACTGCAGCCATCCGTAGGAAGAACCACAAACAAGGCTCACCAGGCTTTCCCAAGGAGTCACTTGTGCTATGTTAGTCAACAGTAAGTAGCTTCCAGAAAAAAACAAGGTCAAAGCATAAAGAAGAGACAAGTACAAGCATCTCCTCTGGATATATTTACAGTAGAGAAATCTTGACACAGACATAAAGCAAACAACTGTTTCCAAGGACTAAAAGTTAAACAGCCCATAAATCACTTTTAGACAGATTAATTTGTTGATGGTAGTAAAGGGACACACATACAAAGTGCTTTGAGTTAATCTGAAAACCTGAATCAGCAGTCAGGCTTTCAACCGAATCAAAATAACTCAAGATTCTCAATCAACTTAAATCTCACCATAACTCTGAATCATTCAGGAAAGATTCATATCATGTTTGTTTTGAGAAAAGAGGAGTGATTTTTGTGTTTGTGCATGCATGAATTCAGTAGCCATGTTAATCTTCTTTTGAACAATACAATACAGTTCTCAAGGAAGAGTTGAGACACACATTTAGTTTTTTCTTAATTTTATTAAGGTGTAATTATTAAGGTGAAATTATGGTGTGCCTGAACCAAGTTATGGTATTTTCAATCACCTTATATGAATTTGAAAGGTAGACCTTCAAAGAATCCATCCATTTGAGTTATGGTGTTGGAGAAGAACACTGAAAATATCGTGGACTGCCAGAAGAACAAACAAATCTCTCATACAGAAAAAAAATACAGCCATAATACTTCTTAGAAGCAAGGATGGCAAGACTTTGTCTCTCCTACTTTGGACATGTTGTCAGGAGGGACCAGTCCCTGGAGAAGGACATCGTGCTTGGTCAAGTGGATGGTTAGCAAAAAAGAGAAGATCCTCAACAAGATGTATTGACCCAGAGACAGCAACAATGGGTAAAAATGTAACAATTGTGAGGATGGCACAGGACCAGGCAGTGTTTCCTTTTGTTATGTGTGAGGTTGCTATGAATTGGAAACAACTTGAAGGCACCTCACTACAACAACAACAATTTGCATATAATGCACTCATTTTAAGTGTTTTGACACATGTATGCACTCACGGCTACAATCAAGAAACAGATTATTCCCATTAACCATAGAAATTTCCCTCTTGCTCCTTCTTGGTCAATCCTCACCCCTTTCAGGTTCTAGGCAGTCACTGACTTCTTTTCTGTCATTATTGGTTGGCTTAACCTGCACTAACATTTAAAAAAAAATAGAATCATATAGTATGTGCACCATCATGTCTAACTTCTTTTGCACAGCATTACGTTTTTGAGGTTTACCTATGTTGTTGCCTATTCCTCCTTTTTATTGCTGAGCTGAATTCCATTGTGTAGACACACCACAGTTTCTATTCTCCTGTTGACTATCTCAGATTAAGACTGCTGTGAAAAAGGAGTCCATGAAAATTCTTGGACAGATTTTTTTGTATGCATATGCTTTCCTTTCTCTTGGATAAATGCCTAAGAATGGAATTGCTGAGTCATATAATAGGTGTATGTTTAACTTCTTAAGTTAAAAAAAAAATTGCAATGTGATTATATCACTTCACATTACCACCAACAATGTATGAGAGTTCTACTTGCTCCACATCCTGACTGATACTTGAAGATCTTTATATTTTAGGCTTTAAATACATTTTATTGTTTGTGGTCTCTAAAAATCCTTCTTAAATGTTATCATAAACTGTGCTATGATGAAAATGCAGCCCCCATTTTTCAGAAATCACCAAGAAATATACTTTTTTATTGTAGAATAACGTTAGATTTACAGAAAAGTTTCAAAGATAGTACAGAAATTTCCCATCTGTCTCTCACCCAGTTTCCTCTAACGTTGGCATATTTACATCACCATGTTTAAAATTTATTAAAATCAGGAGATTAATAGTAGTAACATTAATGTTAACTAAACTTCAGAGTTTATTTGGATCTCATCAGTGTTTTCATTATTTATTATTATTATTATTATTATTATTATTATTATTATTATTATTATTTTTATCTATTCCTGGTTCCCATCCAGTATACCATCTCAATTTAGTCATCTTGTCTCCTTAGTCTTGTCTGGTCTGTAACACTTTCTCAGTCTATCCTTGTTTTTCGTGACTCCTGATGTGGCACTGAACAATCACCACTGGACTGTGAACCAGAAGGTCAGCAGTTCAAGCTCACCAGCAGCTCCTTGGAAACCCTATACAAGGTTGCTATGAGTTCGAAGCATCTTGACAGCAGTTAACAACAACAACAAATAGTATTTTTAGTAGCCTCATATGCATGTGAAAGTTGGGCAATGAATAAAGAAGACCAAAAAAGAATTGATGCATTTGAGTTATGGTGTTGGAGAAGAATATTGAAAGTGCCATGAACTGCCAGAAGAACAAACAAATCTGTGATGGAGGAAGTACAGCCAGAATGCTCTTTAGAAGCCAAAATGACCAGGCTTAGTCTCTCATACTTCGGACATATCAGGAGGGACCAGGCCATGGAGATGGACATCATGCTTGGTAAAGTGGAGAGTCAACTAAAGAGAGGGAGACCCCCAATGAAACGGGTTGGCACAGTGGCAGCAGCAATGGGCTCAATCATAGCAGAAATTGTGAGAATTGTGAAGGACCGACTGGCCAGTGCTTTGTTCTGTTATACATAGGTTCATTATGGGTCAGAACCAACTCAATGGCACCTAACAACAACAGCAATTTTAAAGGTCCTGTTGTGGTGCTGTAGGATAAGCACCACACTGCAAAGTCGGCAGTTCAAATTCACCAGCCACTCTCAGAAATCCTCTACAGGGTCGCTGTGAGTTGGAATCAACCTGATAGCATTCAACAACAACAATAGTTTGTAAAAGTACTGTTCCCATGTTTTGTACAATGTCCCTGAATTGTGATCTGTCTGCATGCAGGCCTTTTCATCATGAGACTGTAGTTGTGTTTTTTTGTTTTGTTTTGTTTTTTAAGAGCAATGCAGCAGAAGTGGTTTTTCATCATGTCATATCAATGGATACATGAGTTATCATTGATGACATTAACCTTGATTGATAAAGATTGTGTCTTATTAGAAAATGTTATTTAGAAGCCAAGATGTGGCTTCTGGATGTATGCTGACACTTTTAAAAGCAACTTTATTGAGATATAATTCACCATACATTTTGCATGCTGACTTTAAACACCTCCACTTGTGTCTCCATCAGAGTTTGGCACATAGAACTCGCTCAGTGGGAACCTGCAATTGTTACATAAGATCATTCTCCACAAAGGAAAGGTGGACTCCCATTCAAGTTCTGCCAGTCCTAAACTGGCTGACAGAGTGAGCAAACTTCTTAATTTCCCTGGGTCCCAGATACCAACCTTTGTAAATGAACATCTATTAACACTGCCATCTTCCTTCAGGAAGTCTCAGATTAAACAGGTGGGTCATGTGGCCTTCTCCAAAGCTCAATGTGTTTGCCCTTCACGTGCTATTGACCTCAATGTACTATCCTCATTCTGTGACCTTCTATACTATTCTGTGACCTTCAGTAGACTCCAAAGTATGGACTCTGGAGCCAGCCTACCTGAGTCCAGTCCTGGCTCAGTTAACCACTTACTATCTGTGTTAAGTTGCTTAACCTCTTTGTGTCAAGGTTTACAGCAGTAAAATGAGATGATAGTAACTGCCTTATAGACATGTGGGGGAGATAAAAAGAGCTGACTTTGAATAGTGCTTGGTATATTGTAAGTTTCAATAAACATTGTTGTTATTACTGCATCTGCTAACTATTGTAATTATAACCTTTGTATTCCCAGGAGCTGCTGGCATAGATTTCTGGCACCTAGGTGCTCTATAAATGATTGATATTATCTCTGAAGCTTGTTATTTATTTGACACACCATGTTCGGATTTCTAAAATGATCTTTTGTACTTTGGTTTCCTATGATATTAGCCTTTTTGTTTTAAGGCAGTTTAAAATCTTGTTTTGGAATCTTGGTATGGTGCTGTAACATAAGCAATACACTGCTAACTGCAAGGTCAGTAGTTCAAACCCACCAGCCGCTCTTCAGAAACCCTATACAGGGTTGCTATGAGTTGGAACCCACTTGATGGCACTTAACACAGCAGCAAAGTCTTGTTTCAAGTCGCCTGTTGGGACCAGACCTCCTCTGGCCTCTGCAGATCCCCA